ATTCATGGTTTATTTCTATATTTGTGAATTAAGAACAGCTTGGTACACTAAATAATTTGATTTGACAATTCAAGCTCTTTTAAGAATTATTATAATGAATTGAGTTGATGTAGTTTTATCAGGAAGAATTTTAAAGAAAGCATTGAGGGAAAATATATAGTTAAACCACTAGTCTTCTCACATAAAGCATTCACAGACTTTAATTGCTCATCTGCCTATATATTAAACAGTTTTACTAGAGGCATTCTTGTAAAACAGTAAAGCAGAATTTATGGTGTAGGCTTTTCAGTGTTCCCGCAAAGCACTTATTACGGTGCATTACATGAATATAATTCATTGTACTCCTCTGTTCTTTTGTTCTTTGTCATTTTCTGGCAGCCCTTTCCACATATTTGACAGACTTCCCCTGTGTGTGCTGACTAAATGAAGACATACATGAGTATTATTTTCTTGCTTGGACATAATTACTAATCATTTGTCATTGCTCTTTCAGGACGCAATGACAAGGGGCAACTGGGCCATGGAGACACTAAGCGGTTGGATGCCCCGAAGCTGGTGGAGGGTTTGGGAGATGAGGTGATAGTGGCCGCTGCGTGTGGGCGGAACCACACCCTTGCTTTAACGGGTAAACTGTTTACTAACAGTTGTGATGTGATGTTGCATGGTGCCTGTGGGATTATGTTGCTAAACCTGTGTTTCTCCTGTAGAAAACGGTACTGTCTACTCGTTTGGAGAGAACAAACTTGGACAGCTTGGTCAGGGCACTCAGACAGATGCTGTCCTCAGTCCAGCTACAGTAAGAATCCTCCCTTTTCAGAAGTATTTGGTTTGCTTTAGTCATACATTCACTTCAGATTCTACAAATATACTGCCTGGAAGTGCAGTAGTGCCTAAGTTACAGCACTGTCTGATGTACTTTCTTTAACCCACAGGTTATGTACAATGGACAGCCACTGGTTAAAGTGGCATGTGGTGCTGAATTTAGTATGGTGGTGGACTGTAAGGGTAACCTCTATTCCTTTGGGTGTCCGGAGTATGGCCAGCTCGGTAAGTTGCTGTAATTTGAAAGGCCCCCCTAAATACAGAATGTAATTATTAAAAATACACCAGCCTGGTCTGCCTTTACAAGAGTCTTTTAATTTTATTTTTGTTCCTTTTTAGGACATAACTCTGATGGAAAATTCATAGCTCGCGCTCAACGCATTGAATTTGACTGCGAACTTATCCCTCGACGCGTGGCCATTTTCATTGAGAAGACAAAGGATGGCCAGGTGCTGCCTGTACCTAACGTTGTGGCCCGAGATGTTGCATGTGGTGCTAATCACACAGTGAGTACCTAGGCTGTCTTTTCATTTGAAGTTGTGAGCTTTGTTTAATTCCAGTGCTAAAATCAGACTTATTTTTCTAAGCCTCACTGCATTTGTGGTACAGCATGTGATTATTTGCAAAATGGCCATGTTGACATGAATGTGGTCCAAAATGGAATAAGGTCAGATTGTAAGAGATGGCTTTAAACCTTGTTTAGAGAATTGAAACATGAGATTCACTTGATCTTATGGGAGGGGATTGTTGCCAGTCTAAACATGTCCTTGGCGTCCCCATCCCAGCCTCAAATATTATACAAGCTGTTCAGCAAAACTGACCTAGAAACAAAATGAGAAACATTAATTTCACAGCAGCCAGCATGACTGATCATAAAGCTGGTTTTGTCTGTGTGTAGCTGGTGCTAGACTCGCAGAAGCGTGTTTTCTCCTGGGGTTTTGGTGGCTATGGACGACTGGGCCACACTGAGCAAAAGGATGAGATGGTTCCTCGTTTGGTCAAGCTCTTTGATTTCCCTGGTCGTGGAGCGACGCAGATATACTGTGGATACCAATGTTCCTTTGCTGTTAGTGAAATGGGTAAGAATTGTTTTCTCTGAATGATTTTAATGAAGCAATTACTGTTTTGTCTGTTAGTGTAAGGTTTTTATGTGTGTTTCTCAGGTGGTCTATTTTTCTGGGGTGTTACAAATACTTCTCGTGAGTCAACCATGTACCCAAAAGCTGTGCAGGACCTGTGTGGCTGGAAGATTCGCAGTCTGGCCTGCGGGTGAGAATTCAGCCTCCTCTGAGCAGTCCACATATTTAGCATTATGTTAAGCCATAACTTAAAATTTTAAGTTTTAAATTGTAGTTTTTGCCCACCCATGATACAACTCTATCCTCTTTGGTTTCTTTAGGAAGAGCAGTATCATCATTGCTGCTGATGAGAGTACCATAAGCTGGGGACCTTCACCTACATTTGGAGAGCTGGTATGTTTGGGTTACAGTACTATAGCACACTACCTGTTATTTGTCAAGGAAAGTGTTTAGCTGATCAAAATTGGCTAAATGAAGTATGTAAAGGGGGATTCTGGCTTCAAACCAGACTTAGGTTACACATTCTGTAGCCTAGCCACTTATCTATAGACTAAAAAATACAACTAAGCTAACATTATTCTAACTTATAAAACAGCATTTTTTTTTTTTTTAATCAAATACACAATTCAGTTGAAGAAAGCCAAACCGAGGTGGTGGTGGGAGGGGGGGGGGTTGTTTTTAAACCAGAAAATCTTGCTCTAGAGACTACTGCAGCACCTCTGTTCATGGCAATAAGCATGTTTACAATAGATGTAGCAATGGTTCATTCATTCAAGTACATGTTTAATACAGTAATACATCATTGTGAATACACAAAACGGTCTAGTTTGAATTATGCATTTTTTTTTATAGGGATACGGTGACAACAAACCCAAGTCTTCCACTACAGCTCAGGAGGTTAAAACTCTGGATGGAGTGTATTCTGAACAGGTAAGAGAACATTGCACTCGATAAAATGTGGTTCAGCAGACTGTCATTTCTGCTCGATCTAATGGAAGACGCATCATACATACTGAACCAGCAACCATATACTTCCTATGAATATTCAGTAAAGTCTGAGATTACAGTGCTCATTTTGATGGCCGTGGGTGGAGAGGCTTTTCACTGAAGAATTAGTTCAGTAATCCCCCCCCGATTTAGCATCGCAACATTAAATGACAGATCTCAGATCATTCACATTATATAAGATGCTGCTCATATGAATATGAAAATATGTAGTTATATCACATTTCCTGTGCAGGAATAGAAAGATGGCAACTTATTGCATCATATAGCCTTCTTCAGGCTATAGCTGGTTGACTACAGCTTTTAAGTAGGTTATATGTAATGTGGGACTATTTTTAGATGCATTCACTCAAGCCTCTGCAAATGCAAGTGCAATGTTTCTCTGACTTGAATTAAAAAAGTGCGCTGGGTCAGTTACGGGATCTGTGTTGTTTCAGGTGGCGATGGGCTACTCGCACTCGTTGATTATTGCCCGCCAGGAAACAGATCAGGAAAAGGAGAGACTTAAGAAGCTGCCAGAGTACAACCCACGCACACTCTGATTGGATACAATCCTTTCATCATCCTCATGTTCTCTAGAGGCTTCTGTTTTTGACCCAGAATACCTCTGCTCACTAGGTCATCTGTGTAGTCACAGTTTGGTTGGGATGGGATCTTTTCTTTCTTTTTTAGGACATCAGATTAAAAGCGGCAAGACGAGCTATAAACCGAAATCAATTTGGACTGCAGTATGAAAGGAGCTTGCAATAACTGATTTCTGTGAGCTAGAGATCCTGGCTCAACCTCACAATGGCTTCATGAACCAGTTTTAATACTACAGTATCTGCAGCTGTGAGGGGAAACCTTGGATGGTCCCCTCCACGCACTTAAAACTCCATTGGATTTCTACTTCTCACTTCTACATTCCTAAAGGAGGTTCATCAAAGCATTCTAGATTAATATTATTATTATTATTATTATTTTTGGGTTATTGTTAATTTTGTTCCATGAAGTTGGCTGGTTAGAACTGTTGGCTGATAAGAACTGTTGCCTGTCTGCTCTCTCCAAACAACTGGTGCTAAATCATTTCAATGCAGACTTGTCTTTTGGCTGATAAACTAGCTGGTATCACTAAAAAGACCCACACTCCATACTTGTGCCTTTTTAAGTGATGTTATTCAGGCTGTGGATGCTTTGATGTCCCAAAGATAACTTTCCTTTACTGTAATCTGGGACCATGGCGGTGTGTCTGTTTTCAGAGTATACGGTCACTTCATGTAATATTTTATGTACTGTGCCATCTTTTTGTGTTCACCTGTGCTTAAGTGTTTGGCATTCCCATGTTTATTATAGTGAACTACCTGTATTTAAGTCATTGCAGGAAGTTGTAAAAACTGTCTGACTAAAGGACAATGGGGAGCAGCAAGCTCTACATCCTGTTTTTACAATTTCTGTAATACTCCAAATTTTTTTTTTTTCTTTCATCAGAAAATGTATGTCAAGAACTTGGGATGGCCAATTTGTTCTTTTTGTTCCTGATAATGTTAAATAAAGGTTCATTTAAGTTGGTAATTGTTAACCACACTTTTACTCTGGGTATTAAGACTTCTGTAATGTTATCTGTATAGGAGGAATAAGCTGGTTTCAGAGTCTTTAAAAACTGGTAGTCTGACAAATGATTCACAGTTAAAATAATCATAACTACACACTAAACAGCTGAAATGGTCCTACATCCCAGTTTTTTATTCAGGGTGATTATGGGACATTTTATAACCCAGTTTTGTCTTAATGGTGCAGTATTCAAGACTGGTTTCTGCATGAAGTTCATTCATTCATTCTCCATTCATAGACCAAATTAAGATTAGTCTTTTAAGATTCATCTCAGGTACTTTGCACTTGGTCATTTACAACTAATAAAACCTTTAAGACACCTATGTTTTGAATCAAAGCGCATTTACTGACTCTTCTCCACACTGAGTATAATGAACTGTGCTGTGACTGTTTTATTTTACAGAAATACACAGCAGACCACATTTGTCTCTGATTGCCTCTTAACAGCTTTTGCCACACATTGGTTTCAAAATGCCTCAAACAAAAGAAGCTAAATGGACGGAGTTGAAAAGTGTAGTATTAAATGAATTTATTGAAACATACAAAAAGATGAACAGTTTAATCCTCGTCTTCTTCCTCCTCATCCTGGTTGATCTGGAAGTAGCGGAGTTCGTAGCTCTCCTTCGTGTTAGCCACAACACGGAGCCAGTCTCTAAGGTTGTTCTTCTTCAAATACTTCTTGGTGAGATATTTCAGGTATCTGCAGATCAAAGAAAGTGTGGCAATGAGACACATGAAGATGCAGTGATAAGGTCAAAGATGTTAAATCAGTCTGTTACTCATACAGATCAGCAAAGAAATCCTGACAAACCTCTTGGAGAAGGGAACCTCAGAAGATACCGTGATCTTACTCTTGCTCCTCTCGATGGCTACAACTCCACCTCCCAGGTTTCCAGCTTTGCCGTTTACTTTGATGCGCTCCTGAAGAAACTGCTCCTGTGAAAATGTACATTCAATCTCAGTTAAGAATGAACATAGATACCTTTGCCAGCTTTACAATGACAACCCCAAACAGAACTTTTTTGTCATACACATACTGTAACAGTTCTAGAGGTTTTCCAGAACTAATGTCTACTTCTGTATTTTCCCTGTATTAACTGTCAGAATCAACGCAAGGCAGTCAGATAAAAACAGAATACAGTTAACTTACAAAGTTGGCTGCGTCCATAATGCCATCCTCTACTGGGTGCGTGCAGTCCAGGGTGAACTTCAGGACCTGCTTCTTTTTCTTACCACCTTTGGTGGGGAGCTGCTTCTTCTGTGAAAACCAGAGATGAGGAAAATGGTTCAAATTCCAAAAACTGCTGTCAATTAGGTGTCCTCTCTCAGATTAGAGGAGCACTATGGTTCCACATGTTCTTAAGTGAACCCACAGAGGCATCATTTCAACGTTTCTGATGCTAGACTCGGTCCCTCTACACCGACACATGGTTACAACGTGTTCAGCAACTTCACAAATTTACTCAACCCAGTGCTTCTAAATATATTATTAAGTTTGTATAATAGAGTTTGACAAAATATGTTGGCTTCTGAAGGCTGAACAGGCACTGGGACAGCTGAACGGGTAAGCTGAACGGTTAGCTTAGCTGGCTACAGGCCTCGTAATGTACACGAACAGATGGAATAAAAACTGGCGATGAAAATTCTCATTTCGGCTCATGATATGATAGAGCCAACTAATAGAGAGCAGACAGCACTAATGCGGAACCACACACCGGGCAGGATTCATGTTTATTGTGAATAATCGTGGCTGTTCGCTGAGACTCACCAGCGGAGCCATTGGGGAAATCGGGCTGAGAGGGAGAATAGACAGCGCGCATGCGCCATGTGGGCTATGCGCAATCGAGCCCAGATCAGGTCGATTTGATCAATTTTTCTGAATTGGACTATTACAAATGCCTTACATTTTACACTTGAAATGATTTAGAGTTCAATTAAGCTAACTAATTTAGAATAATTAAGATAAACAAATGAAATAAACAACCTAATGTTAGGCCTATCATTATATGTCTGGGCAATGCCACTATGTTTGTGCCTGTTCCATTTTAAGTATGTAGTTTGTAGTACATGCTTTATTATACAAAGTGTGGTATGCTTTTGTAGTACGTAGTATGCATCTATTTGTAGTATATAGTGTGCATTGTATATATGCCATTTTATTGTATAGTATTAATTATTCTGTAGAAAACAACATGCATTTAAGTTCATTTATTATTCTGAAGTATACATTCTATGTATCTATCTATATATACATATATACATACATATATATATATATATATAATGTGTGTGTGTGTGCATGTGCTCGTGCATGTGAATATATATATACAAATATATTTATGATGTGCTGAAGGCAAAACTATTGTTGTCACCTACTTGTAGACAAAGGGTGTCTGGTTTCTCTTGTGTAATCAGTGTTTAGATATTTGGATACGTGACCACCCTCCCAATCAGCTGTTGCACTATGTGGATCCCTGATTCTCCTGACGTCAAGGCCAGCCCTCTATCTAGGCAGGCTCACAAACCCTCTACATGGCTTTCATTCCATTCACAGACAGCAGCTAGGACACCAGCAAGGTGAAGGAACGTCTGTGTGCTGTATATGTATATTTTGTTTTTATTGTTGATTCCTATGACAGTTTTCATATGAAGTTATTTTGGCCTTTATTTTGTCCTCTTCCTGGTTTGACTGTACTTTTGTTTGCATGTCTTATTTCACTAACAGGTAAATAATGGAGAAAGTGTAAAGGTACATATAACAAGAAACATTTGCCTGTGTTTTCTTCCATTTCTGGTTCAATGCCAGAGAGAATGAAAACAATGAATGCCAAACATGATTTATCCAGTAGCTAAAGCGTTAGTTTCATCCTGGGCTGCTCTGAGGACATAAGGAACTTCTCTGCCTTTGTAGATGTCTGGAGGAATCTTCTCCCCCTTGGATAACCTTTTTGACCCGGACAGTGCCAACTGCCACCCCTTGGTGTGCCACTTGTGCCATGAACAGTATGAGCATCCGTGCCTATTGGATTGTTATCACACCTTCTGTGCCAGCTGCCTGCGTGGTAGAGCCGTGGATAGCCGACTGACGTGCCCCCTCTGTGGGTAAGAACTTGCTTCTGCAGTCACAACCAGCAAAAAACTTCTTGCTGTCTTCTTGAACTTTGTGGAAATTCTGCATTACTGAAACAATATAATTGTGCAATACAGTAGTCTATGGTAGTATTTCCCAATCTATTCCTTGTGGACCTTGTGTGTTCGTGTTTTTGCTTTATTTCGGCTTCAAAAGTTTGTAAACCAAGCAAGCTTGAATGCTGAATACCTGATACAGTTGTGCTAAGACTTGGCATGTATTCCCAAACAATTGATGGTGTCTATTGTGTGATAAGGTGACTTCTAGTGTAGGGTTCTGAATAGTGGTAGTGATGAAAATCAGAGACCACTATTTCATGTGTTTGATTTCCAGTCAAAACGGCCATTGAGTAATTTTCAGCTTTTAGTGTGTCCACATCTTGCCTTTATCACAGCTTCTATTCTTTTTAGAGGACTTGCTTTCAGTTTTTCAAAGAAATCTGCAGGGATATTTTTTTCACACCTCCAAAGTTCAGTCTTAGAAGTTGGTTGCATTCTATGCTTCTCACAATCCAAGTATCCCAAACACACTCAGTGAGGTCTGGACTCTGGGATGGTCAGTCCATTGTTGTGAGAACACCAGCAGCTTCTTTGTATGATTTGCAAATTTTCCCTTTCTCAGTAATCCTGACAGCTACACATCCTTTCACACCCACAGCATTGAGCTGTCTTCTCACAGTGGAAGGATGCACAGAAACACTCTCAGAAAAAGGAGAAGTACATGATGATCTGGTAGTTTCAGTAGTCTACCAGGTCTTTGTAGTCTATTGATAGTCTATTGATAGTTGTTAGAAGTCCAGTTGTCTCTATTTCTTTAAATAAATTTTTGATCTCCAGTTTCAGAAACTCCCACATACTTTTCATCAACTTTCTCCTTCATTATGCAAATGGACTACCTTCTATCTAATCTCAAAAATATCTACTGAAAAACATAATCCAAAAAACATTTAGACTAGAAGTAAATAAATGAAGGGTGGTGACTTTTTAGCCCAATCTAAAGAGTCTGGTGTCATATTCATAGAGCAGAATGACATATTGATTCAGTTCCCCAGTGCAGGCCATAGCAGAGGTAGGCGCACCATGGATTACCTGACGGGAATCAACAGCTGCAGTATAATTCCTTCCCTTGTTTTAGCCTGAATGGAAATACACACTGCATACTTCTTTAAAGCCACTGTGGCTTCAAACAAACATTGCTGCTTGGGTACTTGGCAGTGGGTCCCTTATCCTGGGCTCTGAGTGATAAGAGACAGTTACAGCTTCTCTGTGCTGTCCTTTCACCAGCTGTGGAATAGTAAGGCATGCAACAGCTCTCTTCTATGCAGTATCTATGGACACTACACAGATTGAAATACATGCAAAATGGGGAAACGTTTATGGTTAAATCAGCATGTTCATGTAAGTATGAAGTTAATTAGCAATTCTGACTGCATGCACTGCTACAAAATCAGTGTGGTTTGATTTAATGATTGACAAGTCACAGCTTGTATGTTGTCTGTTTGTGACCCTGAGTACATAAGTAATATTCTTTTTTATCAAAAAGCCAATTACTTTGTAAACCTGTGATAAACTCAATATTTTCTTAACTTTTAGAGGTTTAAAAATGCTGCGGTGCATCATGATGTCTGAATGTGGTGATTCAATAGTAATTATCAAGTCTAATAGTCTGACCAAGTCAATAAAGTATGTATATTTTTTTGGCCAAAATATAATTCTCAAGCTTGTTTTCTAATGAAGGTTAACACCGCAAAACTCATTATAGACCGATTTCAAAATGCATTTTTTCATGATTTAGGTTGTCATTTGTGGACTTTACACATACAAGAAATATCAGTGGTATATTATTATTAATATCAGCTTTATTAGAGAAATAAAAAAGGAATTTTCCAATATGTGAGCTGTTTTTCTTTTCAAAAACTTGTTACACTCAACATTGTTACAAATTTGAAGAGGACTATTCTTTAGGATTAGTCTTAGAAGGAGACTTTTTTAATGTAAAAGCAATATAAGTCGTGGTAAAATATTTTGTGATGCACTGAAACATTTCCTAAAGAGTCAGAATTCAATCAAATAGTTGTGTGGTCAAAGATTTGCATCAGTACTAATTTGCATATCAGTGCTGCCCTAAAAAAACACCATTTTATTTTTATCAGAATTCTACAGTAGCAGCTGTTTTTTACATTGTGTGGAAATTTCATGATAAGGTGACAAATTAAAATACTAAAAAATTAACTGGAGTAAAATCTATACACATTAACACAAGAAGGTTTTGCCTTCTCTTATAAAGTTTTATTTTGGAGATAAATGTTTTTTTGCTTGTTTGTTTTGTTGTTGTTTATTGGACACCAACAATATGTTTGTGAATCAAGAATGTTGACTAATAGTTATTCTTATGATCATGATCATTTTCACTACACTATACTCTGCAGTTAGTGACTATTTTTGCTCATAGCTCCCCTCAGAAGCTCCCTGTTTTATCTAGGAATTCAGAATGATGCTATTTCTATCCCTGTTACTATGAAGGCAAAACAGCGGGGGAGGTAGACAGTGTGTATAGCAACCGACGAACAAAGAAACATCAAAACAGCCCTTCACTCTTTTGTTCGCGGAACAAAAAAGGCACGTTAAATGTTTTCTTCCCTGTTTCAGACAGCAGTCTATTGTGAAAGGAGTAAACGCTCTGCCTCCGGAGGATCGTCTGCTGAAGTTCTTGGTGGACAATTCTGTGGACTGTGAGGAAACTGTGCAGTGTGCCAACTGTGACTGGGAGTGCAAGAAACAGGTCTTACATCATCTTTGTTTTTTTGTTTTTTTTTGTTCATCTTTTATTTAATGAACACACACTGTAACTGAGCTATATTACACTGGCTTTAAAGTTTAAATTGAATGATTTTCCAGTCTGTGACCTGAGCTCCAAAGCTTTACAGAGGCGTCTTAAGTGACATGTTGTATTTAATGTTGTCAGGATGTGGATGCAATGTATTATTGCAACACTTGTAACCAGCCGTTGTGTGGAGACTGCAGGGAAGCCACCCACAAGGCCAAGATGTTCTCGCGTCATGAAATTGTCTCCCTGGCCAAACGCACCAAAGAAGCACATAAAAAGTGTGGTACGTTTTGAAACGTTTCAAATGGTCAGAGAAATGAGTCGAATCATCAATCACAGGGCCACATCATGGAAAGGAGTTTGATGCACTATGTAAACACAAGTTTTCAGCCTATTGCAGTAAAGCCCATCTATTCACGCTGGCTAATCAGAGCAAGGGCCATTTCCATACGTCGGTTTTAAAGGGGCGTTCCGGCCTAAAAGTAGCATTTATTATGTCATTTGTCATGTTATGTAATACTCTGAAGCACAACATTGCATCCTCCTTTCTCAATGGTTTGACAGGTTTGTATGCTTTTTGTGTTTTTTTATCAATGTCCTCTCACTACAATACCAAGCATGCATTATGCAAATACGTCATAAAACCATTCAGAATCTTCCCACTGCCACCAAGAAATCCTGACTGCTACAGCAGCCATTTTTAGAGGCTAATAAAGACATATGTGATTTCGAGCTTCCTAGAAGAAAGCTATCTGGCTTCCTTCTGCAGTAGCCAGCCAATGGAAGACAATCACAATACTACCCCAAGCAGCTTGTAGTTTTTCAATAGTTCCTTTCACTTTCAAAATACATCATCAGAAGAGGTTTTCTAGCCTTTAAACTGGAAAATCTGCTCTAGAGACTATTACAGCACCACTGTAGGATGCTTGTAGGCATGCTTACAACAGATGCAGCAATGGTTACATTTTAAACACATGCCAGTATAGTAGTATACACAGTGTAATAGAAACTATACTAATGAACACATCACTAATGGTGGTGTACTATTTGACCAACTATTTAGTATGGAAGTATGCAGATTGGTGTATTCCCTCTTTTAACACTCTGAATTCAGTTTGCGAAGGCCTTGATAATTACACTGCGAAAAAATTTTTTAACTTAAAAATGTTAGTGTTCGGGCTGCCTTAAAATTTTGTGTTAATTAAATTTCGAATAGTTAGCAGAACAGGAATGTGCGTTTTATGCCATATCAACTTATTATTTAAAGTTCAAATAACTTAAGATTTTAAGACTTTTTGGACCTCAATTGTTTTTTACCGTGTAGCTCACATGTGTCAGGCTCCTGTCCTCATGGGCCAAAACACTGCAGACTTCAGGACACTAACTTATTGAACACACCTGATTCAGCTCATCAGCTAATTAGCAAGGCATTCTGAATTCAGAGCGTTAGATGAGGGTAAACACTGATCTCTGCAGCACTTTGGCCCGCAGGGTCCCCAGTTTGACCTGCCTGGTGTAGGGAGTGGTCTGAGGTGCATTGGCCTGCCAGGGCTACAATATGGATACTTTTTTGCCAAATTACACCACATAAACACTATAAGTGGCCTTGAATATGATTCAAAACCATGTTGAATCTTATCTAATCCATTTTGGTGCCTGCTGTTATCACTTCTGCTGCAACTGATGCTCTCTGTGTCTGTGCTATAGCCCTTCATGAAGAACTATACATCATGTTCTCCACAGAGAAGAAGTCCATGCTTTGCATCAACTGTTTCCGAGACATGCCAGTGTGAGTTTCTTTAACCTAGCATTTAATTGATCTGTGAAGATTTTCATGAATTGTAAGGCAGTTAACTGTCATCTGGTCATGCTTGTAGGGAGAGCAGAGCACACTGCATTGATATTGAGACAGCGTATATGCAGGGCTGTGAAAAACTGGACCAAGCCGTCATAGTAAGAGACCCTGAAGCTTATCTCTTACTATAAATGTAGTGCTGTAAGGAAACACATAGTTTACAGAGAGCTGTCTTCCTTTCTCCCAGGCTGTGAAGGAGCTCCAGACATCAGCCCGGGAAGCCATTGTTCTGCTGAAGGCTATGATCGGAGAAGTCCGAGCCAATGCGGATGAGGAGGAGACAGCCATCTGCACTCTTTTTAATAGTATGCAGGTAATGTGGTTAGAATGCAATTAATAAAGACTGATTTACTCTGTTGCTCAAGTCACATATGTAAGTGATAAAAAGAAGGCAGCACAATGGATGGATTTCAGATTAGATTTCTCTTAAAATCAATCAAGTTTTTGTGCTGTTAAATACTGATTTTGTGAATCTTACTGCAACTGTCTCTTTTAGGAAAAACTGGCTGACAGAAAGAGGGTTCTCCTTAAGGCAGCTCAAAGGTGATTGTTTCTTGTGCTCTTTTGTTTGACTTTGATGAACACATAACATCTCTGTCAGCCACAGTAAACCACTGTGCAGCTATGAGGCACCAGCGAGACACAGTGGCTCCAATTACACAATCTAAAAATATCTCAGTTATGATACCGCAAACCTGCATCACATCTCACTCCACTTCTACTCAGAAGATGACTACAGTACTTTCATCTCTCTATATGAAACTTTATGAAAAGCAAGTCCAAAAGAAATGAGTAGTGTTATATATTGGCAGTCAAAAACAGTTAATCAGGTGCACATATATGGATTTGCCAGTTTATTACATACTCATGCCAGTTAGGTCCACCAAACTTATAGATCTGTTGGGTATATAACTACTGACTGTAGCCTGTTGTTGTCCATCCTCTACCACATTCATCATTGGTCAGTTTCTAGTTTCTGGACTCAGTGCCAGTGTTGACCAATATTATTTGATTGGAGAATCATTTTCAGCACTGGCACTTAAACAGTAGCAGCAGTGTGTGTGATACCATGTCAGTGTCACTGCTGTGCTCAAATGGCCCTTAGAGTGGTGCTGAGAAAGATCAAAAACTCAAATAATATCTCAGTGGTCATTCTATGGTGGTCTTTTTGTGGATTTTGTGTGGACAATAGTGATGAATGCATGGAAAAATGTTCTTTTAGGTTAGGTGCAAACAAAGTTTTTGTCTTGGGGGGGCAAAGTTCAATGTTTGTGGTGGGCCAAAGGCCCAAAAACAAAACACCATACAAATAAAAAAGCCAGAAGGATAAGCGGTTTAGATGATCTGTGTGTGTATGTGTGTGTGTGTGTGTTCTCTCATTGGTTAAGGGGGTGGGGTTATTGTATGTTTCTGGTGCGCCACATCAAACGTTCTAACGGGCCAACCCTGTTTTAGGTAACTTAATAAATATTGTGAAAGTATGATGAAATTGTATGAGGCAGTCAAGCTAGAGGAAGAGATACAAAATGCTGTTAGTTGTCTACTTCCTTTATTTTATGGCCTTATGCCAATACATCAGTCTGTACAGTTCAGTAGAAATGTGTTTGGTGTTTGTCAAAATCAGTGATTTTTTACCTAAATTTGTGATTGCCCTGCATATTTTTTACAGTCAGCATGAAGAGAAGGAAAGAGCTTTTAAAGAGCAGCTGTCTCACCTTGCTGCACTACTGCCCACTCTCCAGGTCAGAGCTTTTCGTACTATCCACTTTTGTTCTTCCAAACTCAGTCATTCTCTTAAAGCATCTTCTCTTCCTTTCTGTAGGTTCATCTAGTGACATGCTCTGCCTTCCTTAGTTCTGCAAATAAATTTGAGTTTTTAGACATGGGTTATGTAAGTAGACAATTTGTTACATTTACATTTAAAGAGTACATGATTAAGCACAATTTCAATCAGATGCGTCTTAAGCATGTGTGTGTGTGTAGTTAAAGATGCGTTAATCAGTGACAAACAATGGCATAACTATGGGGGTACAGGGGGTGCAATCGCATTGGAACATGATGCAGAGGGCCTGTTGTGACCATGCCACTAAAATCCAAATTGGATCCCTCATATACAGTTGTATGTAAGTTTGAATAGTTCTGGTCAAATTATACGTTTAGTTGATTTCCTAAGTGAAAATAAGTTGATACATCCTTACAAAGAACTCAAATATGATATTTTCTGCAAACTTTTGTGCACAGTTTCTATTTGCTGAGCTTAACATGCTGGAAAAAGCAAAACATAAATTATACAATGTGGCATAACCTTTGTACATGCCAAATTTTATGCTTTATATTTTTCTAATATGTCAAATTTGGCAAATAAACAATAATTGTGTAAACTGTGCAAAAAGTTTTGCCCGTAGAGGATGTGTTCATTTATTTTCTCTTTATCAATAAAACATGCAGTTTGACAAGGACTGTAAATCACAACACAATTGTGCACCCATTACATTATTTATAATGTAAAAATCTTAAATAATTAGTCTAATGTAAACATTTAGGATAATGCAAATGCTAGAGGGTGGAGTGGCATGCTTTGACGGCATCAACTTGTTTGAGACACAGTGGTGTGAACAAACAAATTACATCATCAGATTTATATTCATTATTAATTGAATGTAATTTTCTTATGGAGGGCTCATTCATTTTTATAGCATCAGGATCCGTAAGATCCCAGTTATGCCACTGGTGATACATCATTTTTGAGAGTGCATGAATTGCTGCCACAATGAAAGACTTTGTCATTAATGTGTTTCATTATAAAGTGTTTGAGTTAGGCTTTCCCACTTCACAACTATAAATCTCCATACCTCACACAGCAACTGATGGAGAGGCTGAAGAAGATTGTGAAGCTGCCTCACAGGCTGAGGCCAGCACAAAGCAGTAAGGTAACAAACAGCAGACTCGAATTTCACCTCATGCCCTTTACTGTTATCACCCATCACATGGCTGTCTCTTCTCACAGATAAACACGGAGTACCGGTCTGAGTTCGCCCGCTGCCTGGAGCCTCTCTTGCTGCTGGGTCAACGTCGATCAGTGTCCACAGCAGGCAGCGTGTCAGGACTGTGCCTGGCCAATGGTGGTGGACTGTTAGTCTCTCTCTCAGTCTCTCTGCAAAGTGTAGATATTTACATTTACATGTCTTACGTAATTTAACATCAAACAAAATGTGTAAATTGTGGAAGACAAATACATACAAAGCACCCAAAGAATCTGCAAGTAATTATAACCTAAAAGAGCCTAAACATGATCTAGTTAGCTTGATCTAGTTAACTAAACACAAAGGTAGATCTGCAGGAAAAATAATAGGTGCAGCTTTTTAGGTGCGAAGCATCTCGTGAACCTGGCTTGTAACTCACTCACAAGTTCAGCAGGTTGAAGTTTCTTTTCATGGGGGTGCTCATTTTCAGGCTTATTATTCAGTAACTTCTATGAATCTAATATGCATTATGTAGTTGTGAAAGTGAGGAATGGATGTCTTGAAGTTTGAGGGGTTAAAGAAAATGGAAATGCAGACTTTCTGACATTTCAATACAGGATGTCCACAGCAGTTTCTTCTCCCTCCAGGCTGCCCTCATCACTGTCAGTGGCCTGTCACTCTCCAGTCGCCAGTGACATGTCCCTAGGTTCCACGGTGGTGCGTAAGCCCACTTCCCACCGCTACATCAGCACCAAAGTCCTGCTGGCTGAGGGTGGAGAAAGCCCCTTCATGGAGCACTGCCGCAGCTACGAGAACAGCTACAGGGTGAGACCTGCTGATGCCCGCATGCTTGTGAATATGTCAGTAACATACATAGAGTTTGATGCTAAAAAATCGGTATCTTTGGATTTGAATTTCAGAAAAAAAGATGTCTTAAAAATATATTGCAGTATCTAATTATATTTTGGAATATTCTGACATACATCAATGCATTTCCTTTTCATGTGAGATCACGTTCCTACAGTAGAGGTAAGATAAAAAAAGTCTAAAAAAGAAAAAAAAAGTCTAAATTCCATTATTTATTTATTCTGCCTGTATAACCTACGAAAAAACAGCCGAACAAAATATTTCTAGCATCACTAGTACAATTTCTGCCATTGGAAATCTAAAAAAATTCTCTCTCACAATATTTTTTCACTACTTTATGAAAAAAAATTGCTTTGACCAGCAGGGGGCAGCTGTCTTTTCCCCTTACCCTTCAAGTTATTTGGTTATCTGGGTGGTGGATCATTCTCAGCGCTGCAGTGACAATGACATGTTGGTAGCATGTTAGTGTTTGTTGTGCTGGTATGAGTGGATGAGACAGCAGTGCTGTTGGAGTTTTTAAACACTCTGTCCACTCACCGTCCACTCTGTTAGAGACAATCCTACCCCGTTGATCCACCTTGACAGTAGCTCATCTGTTTCTGCACAGTTGGTCAGAGGATAATGATCATCCTCTAGTCTTTCATTAGTGGTCACAGAATACTGTTGTTTGGATGCTTTGGTTGGTGGACTATTCTCAGTCCAGCAGTGACACTGAGGTGTTTAAAAACTCCAGCAGCACTGCTGTGTCTGATTCACTCCAGCACAATCCAGCACAACAGACACTGCAGTGCTGAGGATGATTCACCACCCAAATAATACCTGCACAGGTGGTCCTGATCACTGAAGAACAGGGTAAAAGGGGGGTAACAAAGTATACAGAGAAACAGATGGACTACAGTCTGTAATTGTAGAACTACAAAGTGCTTCTATATGGTATATGGAGCTGATATGATGGACAGTGAGTATAGAAACAAGGAAATAAAGTGCTTAGTGGATGTATATTCTCATTCCATATTTGATGCCTGCAATACATTCCAAAAAAGGCAGGGTACCTTTGTGCTACATCACCTTTCTATTTAACAATTATTACTCATTTAACACCAGCTCATCCAGTCTTGAAAACTGATTTTTTTTGCCTTTATACAAGTCTTGTGTAACCATACAGGGCCTTTGTTGTCCTGAAAGCATGAAAAAGCCATTGTCTAGAAAGCAGCATATGTTGCTCCAAAATGTGTATGTATCTTTTAGCATTAATGGTGCTTTCACAGCTGTGCAGGTTACCCATGCCATGGTCACTACACCCCCATATCATGACAGACTCCTGCTTTTGAACTTTATGCTGTGAACTGGATGGTCCTTTTCTTCTACATCTATTATTTCCATAAACAATCTGAAAAGTTGACTTGTCAGACCACAATACACACTTCCACTGTGCATAGTCTTACATTTGGGGATGCGGCAGCAAACAGTGTTTATGGAGTTTGCAAAAGTATTCCTGAGCCCATGTGGTGATATCCATCACAGAAGCATGTTAGTTTTTTATGCAGTGCTGTCTGAAGGACTGAAGATAATGAACATTCATTTGTGGTTTTTGACCTTGCCTTTTACACATAAGAGATATGTTAGGATTCCCTGAATGAATATGTTAGGATTCCCTGAATTCCCTGAATAGCATTCCCTTTTGATGATATTATGCACCGTAGAGGATAAAATAACTAAAATGCTTTCAATCACTCATTGAGGAACATTGTTACTGTTGGATTATTCGCTGATGCATGTTTTGGCAAGCATTGGCCCGTCCTTGCTCATAAAGGACTAGGACTTTCCTGGATGCTCCTTTTATATGCAAGCACCTTAAATTGCCCCTGTCCAAATTTTTTAGACTGTGTTACAGGCATCAATTTCAGAATGAGTGCATTTTTACAAACCACAATGGAGCTATATTTGTGCTGTTTTTATTTAAACATAGGTCAAAGTGGAATTACACAAACTGCTTTCCCTAATGTGGCTATTGTTCCGCTTGGCTCTTTGAGCAGGGTTTGCAGACTGAGATCCAGACTCTCAAGGATCAGGTGCAGGAGATTCACAGGGACTTGACCAAGCATCATTCCCTCATAAAGACGGACACCATGTGTGAGATCCTGGACAGGTCTCTGCAGATGGACAGAGAAATCTCCTCTGAATACTCCTCTGTTGAGGTGATGAGGGCCATCTTTGAGGAGGTAAGGACGTCAACTTTTGACAGCAGTGGCTATTCTTGTTAAGTTGAGTTGAAGCACTCCTTGTAACTTTAGAGTAAACAGACAGGACTAGTCTGGATAGGTGGATGTATGTAAATGTGTTGGTTTTTGTGACATCATGAGTTCAAAATGGTCAATTTTTGCAGTTTAGCTTCCATATATGGACCATATAGGCTGGGTAGTCAATGGTACATTGAAACTTCAACAGTGTTTACATACTGAATTAAACTATATATTTGATCCAAAATAGATAAACTGATTTGTCTATGATGTATTTTTCCCTTAGATTTGGGAAGAGACATTTCAGAGGGTGGCAAATGAGCAAGAAATTTATGAAGGTGATTCAATGAACCAGATTTGCAGTTTCTCGCTTTGAATGTTGCTGTGAGAAACTCATGTCTCAATTTCTATTTCTAGCACAACTTCATGACTTACTTCAGTTAAAGCAAGAGAATTCTTATCTGACTACCATTGCTCGGCAAATAGGTCCTTATATCCGTTCAATAGCAAAGGTTAAAGAACGCTTAGAGCCCAGGTCAGTACCTTTCTGTGTTGTTGTATTCATTCAAACAAGTATTCAGTTCAAGTCAGCCAATACAGTCTTTGACACAACCTTGTATCTCAAGCAGGCTGAAGGAGCCTAAGGAGCTTAAAGATGACCGTGCTGAGACAATGCTGAAAATTTATGAGGACAGCACCATGACGGCTGATACCCAGCACAGGCAAGCTCTAAATAGTTCTTTTGTGTTTCAGATTTCTTTCTGGCTGCCTAATAGGTGTCGTCTCAACTATTACATGACTGATTTCTGTCCCTACATACATGGACTGATGTAGTACGAACATTGTGTTTTTTCTCAACAGCAATGAACTGACTTGTGCCCGTGAAGACTATTGCACTCTACACAGCCTATCAGATGACTCGGGTCACAAAAGCAAGGATCTATACAGGCTGAGTAAGCAGAAATGCACAGCCGACATGGGCCCCTGTTCCTCTGTGAAACCACAGCTCAGCTGATTAAGCCTACAGGCAATTCCCTTCACTATCTGAGTTACATGTTAAGACAACAGACAAGGCACTGCTGATTAGGGATTTAACGATACATGAAATTCGAAATCCGATTTGATACGATACGGTTGTGTCTCAATACGATGCAGCAAAAATAAGAAGTGCCTAATTATGTGCCTTGTTTTCCTATGTTAATGCTAATATGTTAACGCGCACAGCACACATGCATGCACACCAAGGGTGTAACGATTATATTTTCATCTTTAATAAGATTTCCAATACTTATGTCAGGATTCTATTTGATTTTTGATTTGCATTAAACATGTCTTGTTTCTTTAGAGCTGTAATTATATACTACATAGACATGTTGGGCTTAAATAAATAAGCTCCCCCCAAAAAATGGGGAGTGAGTGTGTCCATATCATAAGTCCTGCCCTTCCTGCCCCCTTTACTTTAATAGGAGGCACCCAGATACCTGATCTTAATCACAGACGGTAGTTTTTATGGAAGACTTATTGAATTGGGCTGAAGAAAACAAGAAGCATATCGTCATACAATTTTGAATTTTGATACATTATTTCAATTTTTCTATTTTTTACTGAAATTGTTACAGCTTTACTGGTGATGTGTAGAAAGTGATAGATTCTAATATGGATCAGACGCGTTTTCGACCTGCGCTAATTAAATATTCATTCTAAAACAAAATCAAAACAAATCCACGCATAGTACTCGTTATATTTAGGCCTGTCATTGCCATAAAAATCATTTGTATTTGTGTTCTCTGTATGCAAGTATTAAAATACAAGCTGAAAGTGGCCAAATTGGCTGATCAGCTATGTTGTCTCTCAGCTGTTGATACCCTGTAGCTCCCAACTATCAACACAGCAAGAGCTCACTGTTGCCCTCTAAAGGCAATATTGGCTAGACATTACTCACCACTGCTCTCTATAACGTTATAGTGCTGGTTACAAGTTAAAACCTATTTTCTGGAGACCCATGATGTGCCTCATTAAATGTTTTCTGCTTTATATACATTTACCCAAACCCAACCACTGAAAAAGCACCCAATTCACATTGTTGTGCCAAAAACATATCGCTGTTGTCCGAAGAAAATCTTGTATCTCCGTTTTTGTTGTTTTTCAGTTTTTGACATAATTTTAAAATGCCTAATTCCTTTTATGTTGTGTGTAAATTTCATGAATAATGGACCAAAAGAAATGACCCAAAAAAAATCTGGTTCCATTGACTTACATTGAAAGTAAAGTAGGTTTTTTCTTTCTCTTGTAAAGTTACCATTTTGGAGATACGAGATTTTCTTCCGACAACAGCAATATGACTGTAAAAGCTAACGACTGTGTAAACAATTGCAATCAGGCAATAAGGTTCCAATTGTGACAGGCCTAGCTATATAAAACATATATTCACACACTGTCTTTATATTCAGTGTTTATTTTAGAGGCTTGTGGTTGTTTTGTATGCTGAAAATGTCAGTTGTGTGAATAATCGTACAGTTGACTTTCATTCACTGATTTTCCACGTTACATTACTAATATACTGCAGCTCAGCCATCTTTCTGTACAAGGAAGCCTATTGGATGTAGAAAACTTTTATGTTGAACAATTTATGGGGGCAGAAAACCGTTACAGTGCTCATTCACCAAAAAGATGTGCAAAACTGTCTACTTGTCTATTGTCCAATAATGCTAGGCCATGCCAAGAAGACACATGAAGAAATAGGAGGCTCTGGGTATGGCTACATGTTCGTCTGGTATGAAATCTCGTGAGAGTCTTACTATTAACCAAATGCTTCCTAGCTGTTAGATTTGTTTGAAATGGAAGGTAACTGCAACTGGAAGATAAAAACATTGACATGATGATGACAAGGGGTGAGAACATAAATAAAATGTGAAAATGTAGATAAATATCTAGAGTTGTAAACAATGCCTCACCCATGTGTGCCGTAATTAGTGGGACTTTCAGATTTATGAATTCTGAACGTTGGGTGCCAAAAAATACATCTGTTGGAGTTGGCAACTTGGAGCAGAGTTATAGAATCCAATAAACAAACAAGACATTTCAGCCCACTCAAATTATGGTTAAAATGGAAAAGAATGGTGCCCACAAAAGCGTGAGTGAGTGAGATGTCTTTCATCAGTTGGAATTGTGTTTATTAAAGATTGTCAGAATTCAGCATTTAAAACTGTGTACGCCTGAAACTGACAGGACAGTGTCTGAGAAATGATCAAGATCAATCTATATAAAATCCAGAACATGTAAAACTGATCCAGGAACAGAAATCACGCATTACAAATATGACTTTTCTTCCGCTATTCACAAAGAGACGAAGTGAATCTCTAGAATACCAAATTAGTAATTACACTGTTGATCAGGCCATATGGTAATGTCTCAATCAGTGGCCCAAAAGATTACTAAATAGTTCTTATCTAAATCATACTTTTTACCTCATAAATAAATGTATTTAGAAATACTATATGCAACATTCTGCTTTAATTATAAAGAGAGAAGACGCCTTTCCGTATAGTAAATAGCTCTCTCTCTGAACATTTGGTGCTTTAAGTCCAGTTAAAACTTTGCTGTAAACTGTTTTCTATTTAAAAGTCAACATACTGTAGAATCTCGGTAAAGTTCAGTTCCCTTAATACACTCAAAGATGTTTTAACACAAGCCTAAAACAAACAAACAATCAAAAACAGAGACAGAAGACCCAGGAACCAAAAGGTGCTACAACTGAAAGTGACATGAAATGATGCAAGTGGAGTAGATATGATACATGAACCTATATCATGAGCTGAAATTTGAAACAGATCTACAATGGATATGAGAAAGAAATGTTATATGATGCATTAGAGATATAAAAGGTGGACAGAACAGAGATAATATGCATTATGGGGGGCATATGTAAGGGAGTGCTGGGAGACTCGTGGCTGTGTGTATGTGTTTCTGCCTGATGGCTGTAGGGGTAGAGGATCTGCCCCGCTCAGAGCAGATTGGTGTGTCTCAGAACAGATCAGCAGGTCAGTCTCTCTGTGCTGTGTCCTTGCTCCCCTGTGCATTCTTGCAGGGGAGAGCCACAAGGTCACCAAGTAACTAGCTCGCTCACAGTGCCAGTCAGAGGTGTCCAGGTGTGCACTTCCAGAGGTTTCCAAGTTTCCCCTCACTTTGTCCATCCCAGCCTTATGAGTTTACCCTGATGCCTGAGATAAAGGGCAAACCAGTGGGGACCTTCTTCTTGTACTCGATGTAATCCTCCCCAAAGAAATGGATGAGAGAAATCTCCTCTTCTTCAACACGCTCCCGGAAGAACCGCCAGCTGGCCATTGTATAGGCCACAAAGCAGAATGGGTTGCACAACATTATCTGCAAAGAAGCATGCATCTTTTCAGTCAATGAACACTACCAATAACAAACGTTAAAACACAGAAGCTCAAGGATAAGTCAAAATTGACAAATAGTACCAATTAGGGTTAAGAATTTAAACCTAGTAGTGAGGACATTTTACAAATAATGCGTTATGATGATTGGCCACCTAATACAAACCAACCTACCTGAGTACCAATGCTCCAGTAGAACCAGCCCACGTAGGAAGGATGTCTAAAGAATGAGTATACACCACTAGTGACCAGCACGTGGCTCTGGGCCTTCTCATTCTGCACAATGTGGTTAAAGTTGGATCCCGCTGTCAACATAGCAGACTTGCGCAGGCCCTCTCCACATAATACCATTACCAGTCCCACAAAAGCGATCCAGTTCCACTGCTTCAGCTCTGCCGGAGGACACAAATCAGAAGATGAATAAAATCTGTCCTCTGTCAAATAGACTGACAATATAATATGCATACAATGTAACATAGATTTAATTATTGTACGTGTTCAATATTTACAGTGTATAGGACATTGCTGCATTGTGATATCTTATACATAAGTTTGTCTTATATAAGTAAGCAAAGAATTAGCTACACAAATAGGGTCCTATATGCAACAGACCTGGAACAAGCAGCTTTTCCAAAGTGAACTCCATCCAAGAAGAGATGGCTGCTAAGGTGTATTCAACGCTGTGGTTGATCAAGAAAGAGTCCAGAGATAGACTGCGGGGGTTGATGATGGCCGTGACCAGGTACTCAGAGTAGTGAAAGAATGATAGCGAACACATGTACCTAAAGTAAGGAAGTAAGCAATGCAGGGTTATGGTTAGCTAGTCACAGCAATGCATGATAAACACTTGCTATTTTAATACGTTATCCTTCGATTTCTGCATAATTGTTGAGATGTACACAAAGTCATTCAACTTGATGTGAAATGGTTAACTGCAGAGAAACCTACTGACACTGATTTCTTTACAGGGGTGATGACAGAAACCAGCGATCACGATATCTACAATGCACTACAGTCATTTTATGTACTATCCAAAATGACCAGTGAATGGTAAATCTGAAAAAAGTTTTCTTTTGGGGCTATTTGACCTTACAAATCCATGCACGTATTTCTCTGCAATGAATAGCTTTAAGGCCAAAATCTCATTGCAAAACTGTGGTAAAACAATGTCTAAGGCATCAGGCAACATATTCATAACCATTTAATGTAATACGTTTATGTAAAGTAGCTTTTAGAGAGTAGCTGTCTAAGGTGAAGTGTGGCCCATGGGCCAAAGTTAGCATGTGAGGAAGTTTGACTTGGCCTGCCAGAAAGTTACCTGAATCCCACCCCCTCAACCAGTGAGGCAGCAAACATATTCTTCATTGTTACTTATTAAATTCTGTATTTTCCTTTTAAATTTGTCATTTTAAGTAGTTTAGCACCAAAAATTAGTGTAATTATATACAACACAAAAACTACTTTCTTTATTTGCTATTATGTCTTTTTGTCCCTCGTCCCACCACAAACACTGCACTTTCCCCACCCAAGACAAAAAGTTTAGGCACCCGTGTTTTAAAGGCATGCAACACTTAGGAAGTCTGGTTCCTATCACCACCATGTGGGTCATTTTTGAGTAGGTTTCACAACAAACCGCCCTCAATGACTTTGCCTACATCTTAACCATATAATTATAAGGTAAAAAAAAAACATTTAATAATGCACTAAAACTTAATGAGGCATTTACCAGCCAAAGTGTGTCCATGTTGTATCGGCAAAACTTATGATCAGGCCACATCCGAAGGCAAAGCCTAGAAAGCAAGCTCGTACAGCGACCTGATTGTGGAAGAGAAACCAACATTTAGTTTAACCCAGGTTGGGAGAACGACAACTAAGGGCTAAACAACTAAAACAACTGTCCCACATTAAACTGTCATCTTCACAGCCCTCCAACTACACCGAGCTGACAGACGGCGCGCTAAGCTAACTTAGATCCTAAATCTCGTTAAGGTGGATTAAAGCTGAACACATCACTATCAAACACTGCCAATGATGGGACAGCTGCGTTTTATCTGCTCACCACCATGAAACATTAACTAAATCGTTGTATTCGGTTCGGAAAACATGCAGAAGGGACAAAACGATAAAAGTAAGGTGTAAAAAAAAAACAGATTCTGATGCTGGTTTAAGGCTGAACCAGCTCTCACTCTTACCCTGTATAGAGGTCCCCTGTATTTGATTAGCAGCAAGCCGTTGATAACTGTTAAATAAACTGCAATGGCTATCTTCCCGTTTACATCAGTGAGGTAATCGAATATCCAGTCAATATGGGAGCCGAATTTTACAAGCAAGGGTATTATTATCACCCCAAGCCCTGAGAGAAAGCTTAGAATACTTATCCTCCCTTCCAGCACCAACTTACTGCCAGCCATGTTGAAAACACGAAGGTCTCGTAAGGAAATCTCGCGTGACTTCATTTCCAGTCAGCTCCGCGTTTGAGGGTGATTGACAGACACAGACGCTGAATGAAGAGACATACTTACTTTACATTTTTTCATTCTGTATGTAATATATGTATGTAATATATAATGATGTATGTAATATATATGTATATAATATATGTATGTAATATATATATATATATATATATATGTGTGTGTGTGTGTGTGTGTGTGTGTGTATATATGAAAAACAAACAAAAGAAGAAAAAAAAATATATACACACAATATATATATATATATATATATATATATAGAGAGAGAGAGAGAGAGAAAAAAAAAATATGTCCGACGAAAAACAAGTATCTCCAAAATATTAACTTTACAGGAGAAAGCAAAAACACTCTTACCTTTCAATGTAAGTCAATGTAAAGAGATTTTGTTCCAAGTGATTTTAAAGCATTTCTATTGGTCCATTCATCATGAAATGTTTACACAATGTAAAGAACAGCTGATTTGTTGACATGATGTGGAAAACTAAAAATTAACAAAAATGGAGATACATGATTTTCATTGGACAGCAACGATATATATATATATATATATATATATATATATATATATATATATATATATATATATATATATATATCAGAGAACTCAAGCAGTAAAAAGTCACAATATTCAAACAGGACATAAAACAATCCACTTATACACCTTATACACTTATATACACGCCAAGATACTTTTTTATAATACATACTACATATAATAAACACACACATACGAGCAGGAGTTTATTGTTGCACTTTAATTAAGCACATACAACCGATAAGCGGGCCTGTTCGAGGGAAAACACAGTGTTTGTCTGTTAGATAAGTGGAATTTAGTCATCCCCAAATCTCTAAAACAGCTTTGTGGATTTCTGTGATACACACTGCCACAGAGCAGGAGGCGGAATAATAAAGTGAAGCTGAAAACAGAGGCAGAATATCTGCCCTTATTTGGCAGACCCAGGGCTCTTACTGGCCCAGTGACGCTCACAGAACAGGCTTAGCACGTGCTTCTCTAGAGTGATTAAGATTCTAGCCAAAAGGGAGACTTAGTGGTTTATTGTGAGATTATGGGGTCCTGTGTGTCGTTTGTGTCCATTCTGCAAAGCTGAGCTGCTTCTTTCAGACATAGGGAGCCGTGGTCTGCTTAGTGTTTGTATCTATAACTATTTCCTGTTAGAGTCAGGCAGATGTTACACTACTAAATAATATTATACCATCATGAGTGAATCAGGTGAGGCCATAATCTGTGCTTAGAAATGCTCTTTTATTTTGAACATGGCAGAAAAGACACTTGAAATTCAGCCAGGAAAGGCGAGAGGGAATGCTGCACTCTTACGCTCAACAGTTAACACAAAATCCCACTCAATTAAACCCACACCCAACACAGAATGACACAAGTAACACATAACACATCTTAACTAACAAACAATAACAATCCTTCTTTTAAAGAGAGCGCACGTCTCCCATGAGCCTCTTCTAATGGCTCCTTTTGCATGCATGCTTGTGAGCTCCAAAGCAGCGCAGCCAGTGGTGGAATGACACTTTCCAGCTCCTCCGCAGGGCGAGGTCACTAGACACGACAGTTCCACCTGGCCCAATGTGGTCTTCTGTTCAAGGGGCAAGTCTGTCCTTATGAACTACAACAGTCTGCCACCCTGTCCTAACCCAGTACACCACCATGTCCAGGCTTTCCTTCACCACACAGGTGCATTTCGGTGGCTGATTCTGCAGGTCCAGCGAACTGAACCACACAGAGCCGGTACGAGGTATCATCAATATGCGAAAGTGGATACATGTTGGGTTCAATTACAGTGTTGAGAAACCAGTAAATACACGCTAAACCTAGAACTAACATGTAAACATTTCTTAAACACGCTACAATATTATGCACAATGTCAAAGACTGACACTTTAAAAGTAAGTCCCCCAACTATTTCTTCAAGTGCTCTCATCAAATTACCTATATTATTATTCATATTTTTCTGTGCAACAGATTTGAACATTTGAAACAAATTCCCTAGACTATCTGGGCATAGAAGGGGTAAATACCACCAGCGAATCAGAATGCAAGAGGGTCAATACTAATTGCAAATGAGAATTAAAAAGAAAATACTAGTAGGCAACTAGAGCACGAGGGAAAATGCCTATAGGCAATATGGGCATACAAGTGAATTAGAAGGAGGGAGGGAAAATACTAGCAGCCAATCAGAGCAACAACATACTACCAGACAATGTGTAGTGAGGAGAACTGCCACTGAATAATGTCTTTCAGGTTTTTTAAACACTAGTGGGTCCAAAGTCAATGGACTACTATGGAGCTTTTGAGCGAAATCAGTTTGTAAATGCTTAATTTTTTTTTTAGACAAAATGCATAAAACACAGAACAGTATATGATATTTTAACTAATCTGTTGTTTTACTGTCAGTGACCTTGTCAGCACTCAGTAGCAGTAATGCTAGCGCCCTACATCCAAAAAACCTGTTTGTTATAGGAAAACATAAAGATAGGGGAAAGTTTTCTTTGATTTTATAACGAAATACATCCTTCTACTTTACAAAACTAAAGGAGGTTCCCATATGAATGGCTAGAAACATGTAGAATTGTTTATTTCTATCTGTTTGGCTCCTTTCACTCCTATTCATTGAGGACTTGGTCGCAGGTGCCCTCTAGCGCTTGCAGTCATGTTTAACTACAATAGCTTAAACTGGAGGTGGCTCTGATAAGAACACAGAACCGTGTTTTACTAGCCAATCAGAAAGAAATACTACTAACCAATCAGAGTGCAGGAGGGAAATTATTGTAGCATTTTCAAACTCTCTATGAGAGCCTTTGTGGGCGGAACACAGACTTGTAGCTCACCAACCACAACAGTAACAGAATTAATTTAATTTAGTAAGCTATTAGATTATTAAGGCAGTCGTTGTGCTTTGGGCTGTTTTTTTTGTCATGATATTGCTGACAAAATTTAATGTAGCATGTATGCTACAGGCAATACATAACTTAAATTCCCTGTCTTATTTTTCTGGGCCATCGTTTGAAATTATTAAAACAAATTTTGGTTTGGAGGGCAAAACTGTATTTTAAAAAGTGGGCAGCATGGAAGCTGTGCATGTGGGACAGAATGAACTTGCATGATTGTCTGCATAAATAAAAGTTGCATTTTTTTTTCTTCTGCAAATGTTTTACATGGATTTGACCAATGTTATGAATAGCTTGTACTAATGTCTAGCTTATAGTAATAGTTATAGTGACTCAACGGGTTTGCCTGTTTTCAAGTTTAATTAATATGCAAAGACAAGAACATCATTTTGATTAATTTAGTTTGAATATTTGAAAATGTGTTTAAAATGTGAAGAAAAGGGGATATCATTTCAGATGTGTAAAAAGGGTAAAAAACTGTGGTACACATAAAACACAATTTTAACAACAGTAATTTGTTGACTGAAATATTATCATTTTTTCTTTTACAGGTTCTAAGGTTCATCAAAAGAATTTAATAAATCACAGGTTGTGTATTCTAAACCTCAATGACATTCAATAAAAATATATTGTTTTTAATTATATGACAAGACCAACCAAAAACTTAAGAATGTGTACATCAAAATGTCCTATTACTCACAGTAAGGACATGGTAAATCACAGGAAAAGCACGGGAAGTTCAAGCCAGAAAAAGTTTTCTTTCAGACGGCAGTGAATGCCCTATGGCCAGTGTTTATATACTCTGGATCAACACAACGTCCCTTTTTTCGGATAACGTTTTGATGATGGTGGTGAAACTTAGAGAAGCAGCGGAGACCTGCAAAAACATAAATGTATCTAATAAGTGACACTAGGGTTTATAGTTAATAAAAAGACCATATATATGTTATTTTGGATAATCACTTATTAGATTTAGTAATGACTTAATTTAATGAAATACGTACCTTCTTCACACATACAGTCATCATAGCACTTGTTATTGAGGCCTCGATTATGAGGGTCGCATGTGTGTTTTCTGAGGTTGCAGCAGGAACCTACATTATAAAACTCACAATCAGTCACTAAAACGTTACCCTGCACTCTTAACAAAAGGTGCCACAAGGGTTCTTTGAGTAATTTGTGTTAATTCTCTATAGAACCAAGTTTGTAAATGAGATGTGTGATTGTGAAAAACCTTTAGGTTCTTTACCAGCTCCTGCTACAGTTAATGAAGGAACCAAAAATGGTTATTCTTAAGAATGCGCAGTGATATCACAATCATATTAGCAGATATAAGCTTAAAAATATCAGCATCAGATTTAACCGATATTTTAAACTGATATTTGATGATGTCATAGGTGTCAGCCCATAGAATTTACTTGTATAAAAATAGTTTTTTTCTGATTTTGGAGGTAAACGACTATATAAGGCTGTGAAACAGGAAATCTAGTGTAATATAGGTTCCTAATAAAGGCTGGCTAATAATTCCGTCATGTTTTCACTTTCTGTTTTGTTAAGATTTACTAGTCTGAAAAGTAATCTGATCAGAATGATGCCGATAAAACAGACATCACCTCATGAATCACTCACCACAATTTACACAGTGCTGGGCTGTGTAACCGTGTTTCGGTTTGATTGTGGAAAACATTAAAGCTCCTACGTCTGGAGTGCACAACGCATTAGTGAGGATACATCTGCTCCTTGATCTCACCTTGCAGACGATACTACACTTTTTGCTCTGTCAGTTCATCAGAGAACACAGCTTGGCTCTGCTTTAACTGTGTGAAGGGCTGTTCAGCTGTTAACCTTAACTGTCAAATAAAGGAAAAATACATTTCTATGTCTGTATGAAGTGATTCGATTTCCAGAGAAATAAATCACAGTAAAGAAAATGCAAACTGGATATGAGCTACATGGTTATCAGTGAATTTATACAGTGTGTAGGCTGTGAATATAATGTTGACTGTCTCTAGTGGTTGATATCTATGCGGCAATTTAGGCAATGCTGGGCTACTGTGCTAACATATCTGTCTTTTGTTTATTTACCGCATTTGTGACCCAACAGAAATAAATCTTACATTTCTCTGTAATGCTACTTGTAATGTAGTGCTGATCAAAATGAATTTAGTCCTAATTTCTACCATTGGGCAGATATGTATATGAAAAATATCATATCTGCATCATAGGCCCACAAATCCCATATAAGTGCATTCCTAATTTTTTAAGGCCTCAGGCAAAGAATCCTTTCTGGTACCTTTATTTTTAAGAGTGTAGTATCAGCAGCAGTACATGTAGTACACAATGCTAAAGATTTTTATCAAAATAGAACACAAAAAGGAGACACTGAGACCTGGCACACAGTCCAAATGATGATCACAGCTCACGGCTTCTTTAGAAGTCATCGTCTTCTTCTCACTGCTGGACCTCTTTGTATACTGCCTGCCTGTAAAACACACAGGACATTTTTAAAATATATAATTGGAACAGTCTTTGGACTGGATATTTTTAGTGGGCCAATCTTACCTTTCTTTTTAGAGGGCTGCTGTGTTTCTGCAGGTTTCACAGCCTCATAATCAGCTCGGTCAGACAATGTCATGCCAAGGATAGATACAACATCCTTAGCTACATCACCCCCTCCCTGTAGGACACATACAAACAGCTCAGCAAAGCATTGCAGCCAGGCTGATTTACATAAATTTACCAATGTTTTTGCCTTTATAATAGTAACCCCCTTCAGTACCCACATATGTGCTTCGGTTGGAATCAAGGGAAAACTAAACTTCTCAAAACTGGTACAAAATTCATCTTCTGAGAACTAAAAATAAGGTCATAAAACTGAGTGATCACCAGTGAGATGGGCTGACCACTTTCCAAATGGACTTGAGAGGCCTGAAAACACAGTAAGTGCACCCTTTGGGTGTTTTATTTGGCCATTATCCAGGCAATTTAATCATATGAAGCCATCATTACTGATCATATAATGACATTGTAACCTAGCTCACCTCCAGGTCTGTCGTCTGCACGGCAGCTCTTGGGATACAAAAATAAGAATCGTTTAATCAGGGAGGACATAGTTACCTGTGGTTTGTTGGAGAGAAGAGAGAGAGGAGATTGTTCTTCAGTGGTTACTGAAGATACTGAAGATATGGAGGTGCCAGAGCTGGTTTCAGTCAGCATGGGGGAAAAGGTGGGCTTTCCGAGACTCTGCTCTACTGAAACCTTCTGTTCTTTGATTGCAAGCTCAGGTTCTGATGGCATAAATATCAGACTTAGAGAACTGATGAAGCTTTTTAAAATAAATAAACTCAGTGTCCACTTTATTAATTCAGATTGGAAATAAACAGCTAGAGAATGGATCATTTTGTTGCTTTGCTACAGATTGGCTATAGTCTGTAACTATCAGCAAAGTGTATCGAAAAAAGGTAGATGTCTTTGTATTTTGTGTGTTTAATTTTCTCTCGAATTTAGTTATGGTCACAACCCACCCGATAGTTAGGTCTCCCACTATCACATAATGCTACCAAGCTGGGAGACCGAAGGCTAGCACATGCTTTCTCCGAGAAAAGATGGTATATAAAGTAAACCAAGTAAACCAAGTGCATGCCTATTCAAGATACAGTTCCTATCTGCCTAAATCACGTCACCCCTCCCCATCAATAAAACTGTCTTTTCTTAAAATCGGATCATCAGAAAAGGCGTGTTTGGGCTCAAAATAGTCCCAAGACCCTATCAATCATAAAAATGACCACAAGTTGGCTGTAATTCTTTAAGAAATTAAAATAATCCCTAAAGTTCAATGAAATTGTCAGAATTTACCTTCTGATATGAACAGGACTTGAGTCTCTGTTGTCTGCATAAAAGGGGAATGAGTCCCCCTGCCTCTCGCCAAAACCATATGACAATGGCGGCTCTCACTTCATAAATCCTCTCTGCCTCGAACCTCATTAAATGCCTGTTACATCAGCTATTGCCTGGTACATCAGCTAACAGATGCCTGCGATGGCTAACATCACGCTGAGTGATGCAGGGAAAGGGAAGACCATCCTACCCACCAAGGGAGAGTGAAGCCAGTTATGCCCTCAAAGGACACCCACCCACAGATGGCTGTGACATCACCAGAGGAGGTATATGTTTCTTATAAAGTGGCCAGAGAGTGTATAGCTACACCAAAAGTTTGTTTGATACTTACCTCTGCCATTCAGAGCCTTAGTCCTATGCTTTTCAAACTCCCTGTATCCAGACTGATGACTCTTGCTGTTAGCCATGATCTCACTGTCAGGAGACAAATTTTTCCCTTCAAGCTCTGAGCATCCAAGTCCTGGAAAATGTCTCTTTCTTTGACCAGCTCTTTTCCTTTTGTCTCCTGGACCCATCTCTACACGCACAGGGCTAAGGCCCTCCAGCTCAGGCCTATCATACTGCGTCTGAATAACAACATGGCAAGGCCTGTCACTCAGCTGCACTGCATTCAGTCCCTCCTTGTACCCACCCAGTCTTCTCTGAAGCCCATGCCCCAGTTCCTCTGAGCTGAGGGATGATAGGGTGTTAGGACTTCCAGAGGATTGGTCACTTGTACTTTTCATGATCAGTTTAGTGCTGGCCTCAATAACATGCGTCACTACGACCATGGCAAAGAGAAGACCGGATCCAAAAGAAGATGATGCCATCCTGAGTATGAGAAAGAAATAAAACATCTCAGATCACTAATAATCAGAAGACAATGGTAAATACAGGATGTGATCAATTTTTACAACAAATAAAAATCACTTATTAAATCCAACCTATTCTACCTGTTCGTTACAATAGAATAGATTGAAGAGGGTAAGTCTTTCAGAAGTGAAGATGGGGAGGGGTCAATTCAAGGGGGCAAAATCAATTGTGCAACAATTCAAAAGAACGTTTCTCAAAATAGCAAAGAACTTTGGGATTTCATCATCTACAGTACATAATATCATTAAAAGATTCAGAGAAACCAGAGAAATCTCTGTATAATCTCTGGACAAGATTGAAAACCAATATTGGCTGGTCGTGTTCAGGCGGCATTGCATTAAAAACAGACATGATTCTGTAGCGGAAATCACTGCATTGGCTCAGGGAAATCATTGTCTGTGAATACAGTCCATCGCTGCATCCACAAACGCAAGTTAAAACTCTACCATGCAAAGAAGAAACCATGTACAAACAGGATTTAGAAACGCCGCCGCCACCTTCTCTGGGCCCAAGCTCATTTAAGGTTAACTAAGATGAAGTGTAAAAGTGTCCTGTGGTCAGATGAAACAAAGTTTGAAATTCTTTTTGGAAATCATGGACACCACGTCCTCTGGGCTAAAGAGGAGAGAGACCATCCGGCTTGTTATCAGCGCACAGTTAAAAGCCAGCAGCCAGAGGTGAATTACTGCCCATGGCATGGGTGACTTGCACATCTGTGAATGCACCATAAATGCGGAACAATATATACAGGTTTTGGAGCAAAATATGCTGCCATCCAGATGACGTCTTTTTCAGGGAAGGCCTTGATTATTTCAGCAAGACAGTGCCAAACCACATGCTGCACATAACACAACAGCATAGCTGTGTAGTAAAAGAGTCCTGGTGCTAAACCGGCCTGACTACAGTCCAGACCTGTCACCAATTAAAAACATTTGCCACATTATGAAATGAAAAATATGACAAAGGACACCATGAACTGTTGAGCAGCTAAAATCCTATGTCAAGCAAGAATGGAGAAACACTTCACTTTCAAAACTACAGCAGTGTCTCCTCAGTTCCCAAATGCTTACAGAGTGTTGTTAAAAGTAGAAGTGATGCAGCACAGTGGTAAACATGCCTCCGTCCCAACTTTTTTGAAACATGTTGTTGACATCAAATTCAAAATGGGTGCATATTTTTCAAAATACAATAAAATTTCTAAATTACAACATTTTATATATGGTCTTTGAACTATTTTCAATTAAATATAGGGTTTAAATGATTTGCACCTCATTGCAGTCTGTTTTTAGTTACATTTTGCACAGCTTCCTTTTTTTGGAAATGGGGTTGTCCTTTTATAATGTTGAACTCTGTATTAACATTATGGTTATTAATAATGTGGTTAGTCTAGTTTGTAATGGGTAATACTGGGACCCTCCACCTGCGCCCAGGCAAAAACACTATGCTATACGCTACGTTCACCTACCTCTGTAATATGATTAAACTGTCAGACTGGATAAAAGAAACTCCAGGTCCTTCTACATCTTTAGAAAAGGCCTAATGATTTCTGAGAACTAAGATACATGTCTGCAATTTTTGGCTAATTTTATTTTCAAAAAAAAATATGCTTGTTTTTAAACTCTGCAATTGTATTACAGTCCTGCTTGACCCACTTTTCACATTAACGGTCCAGTTTGAAGGCCTAGCTCTAATAGTCACCACTGCATAAATGTAATAAACTAAAAATAGAAACATTAACATATTAACATATTAACAGAAGGTACATTTTCCACCACTGCTGATTATATCTGTATCAAAAATGTGCTAAATAAATGCCAGATAAAACCACTGTACTGTATCAAATTGAATTCAGAATTTTGTGTATTGTTACACCACTACTGCCAGGATACTCCTGTGGCAGTTTATCTGTTTTTCCAGATCCATATTGCGACTAAATGCGGAGTTTGAAGATTCAGTGGAGTTATCCAGCATAAATAATGACATTTAACATTAATGAAAGCAATAGTGCAGAACACACTTCAGGCTAATACAGAATAGCAGAGATTCTGCTTTTATAAGCCATGTCAGTGTAACACTGTGGTCAGTGACACTGTCAGACATTTAGACTCTTCTGGCCCATAAAAGGCTCTTTATGTGTGTGTTGATGACTTGCTTGCTTCCAGAGCTACCAAAAACTATCTGCTCTCATCGTTTTAATAGCTTTCACTGCCTTCAGCTCTGAAGTGCTACATACTGAGAAATGGAGATTAAAATAGCCCCAAAATGCTCAAGACAGATATTTTACCATGTTAGAGTTTCCTCTTTGTGCACTTGTCGCACATTCATTAGCAGTAAAGCCAAAAACCCACAAAGACTTGCAGTAGCGCACTCGACTTTGATTTTGTCAACAGACAGAACAAGGCGAGAGCTTTTCTGGGTAGCTTAGTGTTTCTGCTGATTGTCTCAGGACACTTGGTTATTTTGTTTTTGTATTTGACATTTGATCACAAATATAAAAGACAGACAAGACACAGACGTGTAAGCTCCTTTGAATGGATGCACTTTTGTAAGCATCTTTGAGATGGGGATGAAGAACTGATCTGAGCCGAGGGATTTTACCCCAGCAAAAAATGGATTACTCACACTTTGGGGATGTATGTAGCTGCTGGCTAATTAACCACGCTAAGTTTGCTTTCATGTCCTGTCACACCAAAGATTTAACAAATCCTGCACTCAAAACCCACAGATCCAAAAAGATGCAAAGCAGCTCTAAATGTCAGAATTTTTTTATAATCTTGAGATTTAATCAGGTCAGGCTTACAGACTTCGATCTGTCTTCTTTTCCTTCTCTTTTTTTAAAAAACGTTGTGCAACAGTAATTAAATATTAATACATTCAAGGTTGACGCGATGTCTTATGCTAGAATATGTTTCAAAGAGACTTTGATATATATGAAGGGTTTCACTACAAAACGCATTATAGACCATGTTGAAAAATTCGGGAGTGGGCTTTACACTTGCAAGAAATATCAATGATTTATCATTATGATTAATACTACTTTTATTAAACAAAGTGTTTAGTTATTTTATCAGAAAATGTGTTTTCCACTGTATGTCAGCATACGCAAAAGTCTGAACACCCCTAATCAAATTACACATTTTGTTAATTTTTCAGTTAAAATAACACATCCTTCACAGAGAATATGACATTTTCTGCAAATTTCAATGCACGTTTTTCTATCTAACTGTATTTGCTTGGTGAATTTAATGGGAAATATAAAAAATATACTATAAAAAATGCTATAACTTTTGCACAGGCCAAATTTTAGGTTCTATTTTTATTTATTTTTTCCTCAATATGTCAAATTTAGCACATAAACAGCTTTTTTATGTCTACACTGTTAGTCCATGTTATCAGCCCCACTTACCATACAGGTGCACTCTGTAGTGCAATTACAATTACAGACTGTAGTCCATCTGTTAATCTACACACTTTGCTTCCCGCTTTCACCCTGTTCCTCAATAGTCAGGACCCCCACAGGACCACCACAGAGCAGGTATTATTTGAGTGGTGGGTCATTCTCAGCACTGCAGTGACACTGATATGGTGGTGGTGTGTTAGTGTGTGTTGTGCTGGTGTGAGTGGATCAGACACAGCAGTGCTGCTGGAGTGTTTAAACACCTCATTGTCACTGCTGGACTGAGAATAGTCCACCAACCAAAAATATCCAGCCAACAGCGTCCTATGACCAGTGATGGAGGACTAGAAGATGACTAACACAAACTACAAGGTGGACCAAGAAGGTAGTAGTGTCTAATAGAGTGGACAGTGAGTGGACACAGTGTCTAAAAACTCCAGCAGCACTGCTGTGTCTGATCCACTCGCACCAGCGCAACATACATTAACACACCACCCCCACGTCAGTGTTACTGCAGTGCTGAGAATGATCCACCACCCAAATAATGCCTGCTCTGTGGTGGTCCTGTGGGGGTTCTGATCATTGAAGAACGGGCGAAAAATGATGCAGAGAAACAGATGGACTACACTCTGCAATTGTACAACAACAAAGTGCACCTATATGTAAGTGGACCTGACAGAATGAACACAGAGTATAGATACAAGGAGGTGTTCCTAATGAAGTGGCTGGTCAGTGTATACGTCATAGTTTATGATAAAGAGACAAAAAACACAACTGACCCACAAAACACACATAACTAACCCATCCTTGTTAATATTTCATCACATAACATTTGTTTCTGTTGCTGAAGAAGGGTTAATAGCCCAAGGCCTCTAAAGCAAGTCACAGTGACCCCTCAACATACCTGAAAATGAATTACTCCTCAGTCCCACCAGTCAAGCCAGAGTACCCCACTAATTCTTCAAATCTAGCTGGAGTCAGGATTTTTACTGACCACTAGAGAAGATTAGCTGACCTCTCTATGCCGCTTTAGTGGATGATCATGTCTTTTTGCATTTAATTGTTAAAAATCTTTTGACCAAGGATCTATGGTTCATCTCAGTATCCCGAGGCTACTTTTTAAGCAGCACTCTGAGCTCTTCATTATGCTAATTTATCAGAACACTGAACTTCTACAGACCGTCTTGCTCTACTTAATGAACACACACTGCCCATGACTGACTGTACGTACAACTGCAAATGAACTGTTTTAGCAGGTTTCATCATCCTGTTTCATTCAGTTATGCCTTTGGCACTGAGGGAACGATGTAAGAGTCATTTTCTTCACGCGTTAAAGATTTAAAAATCCATTTATTATGCTTTTGTCTGCGGAAATAATAACGATAGAAACTCTTTTCCATTTCGCCCGGCTATGAGTTCAAGACACAGAAGCTAATTTCTGCAGTAACACGGGTTCATCTGAAGTCGGCTACTGAGTCCTGTTTAAAAACCCAAACCAGTATCATATTAAACTGCCCTCTTCCTTAACACAACTTTCAGCCAAATATAAAAAACAGTTTT